TGCAAATTAAAATCCTTATAATTTGTGGACACTTTAGTGAATCGATTTAAAAATTGTACTAAAGATTCTAAACATATGTAAATTCTGCACAATTTTCATTAAATTCTGTACAATTTTTGTACAATTAAATTCTCAATATTTTGAAAATAGGTACAAAACATCCTTAAAAATCAAAAACATTTGAAATTGTAAAACTAATATATTTTTAAAGATCTTGTTTAAAAACTTTTTATAAAACTTTTTATAAAACCTTTTAAAAAAATTTTAAAAGTTGTAAAAATAGATGCACACACACACACACACACAATCTTTTAGTTTGCTAATGAGTCTTTTCCTTTAATATTTCTCCTTTGCAGTAATTTAAAGATATGCTCGCAAAACTTGTGGTAAAACTTTCTGTATAACTTGAACATTGAGTAATACGTGCAAAAGATAAAGGGGCAAGTTCTAACCGACGGCAATTAAAATTTTCGGCAACCGCGCACGAGCGCTCAACACCCCAAAAAAACCTTCAAGCCTCGGGAGAAACTACTAGCCATTAGCGAGGAGAATCCCCTACGTCCAAGTTCAGCTTGTGGAGCGAGCGAAAGCGAAAGGGAGAGAGCGAGGAAATCGACAAATCGTGGGTAAGGGGGATGAAGAAGAGAGCGAGGCGGCCCATTTCACGGGCTTTAAACACTCCGCCCCGGAAAAGAGAGAGAGAAAAAAGAAGAAGGATGCCCGCACAAGCAGAATCTGATTCCAGCCATTCGCCCACTGCTGATTTCCTGCTTGCTGCCTTTTGGAAAGCAAGGGTGGAGACTTTTCGCGGCGGATGCGCGCGATACCAACCCCTGCCCGCCATTTGCACCCTTGTTCCACATTTTCCCTTCTCTTCCTTGCCAGAAAAAGCCTAGTTTCGGGCAAATCTTTTTCTGTCAAAGAGAAATGATGTATATGCATAGCGAAAACGGGTGAAAGGTGGGAAAGAATAAAGAGATCGAAAAAGAAATAAAACAGTTTCCTTGAGATTACATACAATAATTCAATGTTGGCTATATCATGTGCATGAATTTCACATAACAACAGTCTTTGCTGTAAATAATTTCAAAATTATCTAAATAAAGATAAAGATAAAAATCCGTAAATTTATCTTAGATGAGATAAAGATGATTTTGCTTTTACTTAATCTAGATGAAAGATGAGATGATTATTGCGATAATCTAGATAATTATCTAGATATTTTTGTTTATTTTATAAGACTATAAATATTTGTAAAAAATGTGACGCAGATTATAAATGGGATATTAAAATCATAAACACATATTCTTTCTCTTTTCCTAAAGAATATTTAAATAATAACAAAAAGGTATATAAATGATATGATAAATATTTATTTATTAATTCATATTTATAATATATTTATAATATATTAATAATATATTAATAATATAATAATCAATGTGTAACAATACATACATTATTTTTATAAAATATACATTAATGCATTGCACAAATTTAAGTAAAATAAGTACAACATAAAGTATATTTGTAATATTACTTTCCAAATAAAAAATATATTTTAAATATTTTAGATAGATTTTTAAAAGCTTGCCTGGAAAACTCTTTTGCATAATTAAAATGTCATCTTAGACAATTTTTAGATAAGATGACATATATTTTTTATCTAAGATAAAGATAAAGGTACTTTGTATTTCTTCATCTAGTTAAAGATAAAGATGATCTATTTCTTTATCTAGATAATTATCTAGATAATTTTATCTAGATACTAGCAAACACTGCATGGCAATTACATATTATCATCATAGCAATTGTTGTCCAATGTCAAGATGATATAATTATATATTGGCTAATATTGGTGTTTATTGATTATGTTGTGTGGAGGCAATTTTATTATTCAAAGAGCGATTTATCGACAATCGACTACAAAGATGTTAGCCGATGAAAAAGAACTGGATGACTCCTTTAGATCATTAAAAAATGCGACGATCTGAAGAGACTTGCAAAGAGAAAGGGGGATGTAGAAGGAAATAGGAGTCTCACTAGAGATGACTGCGTCGACTGTGGAATTCTCCCTAAGGGATTTCTTAAGTCTCAAAGAAGATCACACGCGCGGGCAAATTGATTTTTTCCCATGTCATCCCTTCGGAAGTCTGCCTGTCTGTCTCTCTACACTTTTTGCCTTTTATCTCGTCTTGCTATATGCAAACAACGCTTTAGGATTAACGATTTCTAACCTTCCTCACTCTCACTTAAAAGCAAGTGCATGCTTTTAGATACCCTTTGTTTGTTTCTTGATATTTCGTGTCTTTCAACGTAATTGTGGGATTTCGGAAATATAAATCGCTATTTCCTATTTCTCTCCGTCTATCTGAAAAGCGTCTCAACAAACCAATCTTTGATCAGACATTACTTAATCGAATGTATAAATGTTGATATAATATTTAATTCTATGTAATTAATCTCAATTATTTATTTAAAAAATTTTTAATTTAATTTAAAATTTTTAATTTAATTTAACATTTTTAATTTAAATCTTTTTAATACTCCTATATATACAGGGTGTCTCAAAAATCCCGAACCAGTCGAATATTTCATAAACTATGCACTTTAGAAAGAAATGTTTCAGACAAAAGTTGTATGGTTTAAAGAGGGCTTGCCATCAGATAGTGGCAATGATTTGACATGGGAGAGTCATTTGAAAATCATGTGAAGATTACCGTCAATTTCTTAAATGGAACTCCCTATTTTTTATATTCCCTTCAAGCCATACAACTTTTGTCTGAAACATTTCTTTCTAAAATGCATAGTTTATGAAATATTCGACCGGTCCGGGACTTTTGGGACACCCTGTATAATACACTTCTAATACCTAACGTAAGTATTGATGCGCTTTCCTTCTTTCTCATGCAATAAAGTAGGATATAACTTTTCTATATAACCTTTAACGCAATAAAGCATGACACAGCTAGATGAAACCCGGACAAAACAGAAACCATAAGACCATAAGACCATAAGATGACAAACGAAGACGACATTCACGATCATTTCAATTGATCGCACGCTTGTAGTTCTTGAAAACTTCAATCAGGTTCAAACATCCATAATCTTTTTCCACTTTTCTGTTTCTATTTTATCCTTGTTCTTCCCCCTTTTACGCTTTCGTCTCCGGCTTTCAACAGGAACCCCCAATAAACGCTGAAAGAGAAAGAGAGAAAGAGAGAGAGACAGAGAGAGATAGAAAGAGAGTTGACAAGTTTTTTTCTACGACTGATCGAAACGTTCTCGAGAGAAAAGAGCTTTTCGGAGTACGGGAAAAATTCTGGTGACTGAAAGAGGGGAAAGAGGAGAAGAAGGAGAAGGGAAGGAAAAGGGAGAGAGCTGGCGAGGCACGCTTGGATCATAGATCGATGTGGAGACAAACATTTCCAATCAGAGCGAAAAAGGAGCCGAAGAACGTTATCGTCGCCTTTTCTCTTCCTTTTTTTTTCTCTCCGACACAAGAGACTGTGAGGGGGCGTGACAGGGGACTGTCGATTTTTATCGAGTTACAAATGGCAAGAAATTAGCGCTAAGCGAGCGCACAGAGAGCTAAAGCATAGAAATTAAATTTCCTCGGCCAGATGTTTCATCCGCTTTTCGCAAATAGATGTCGGCTTTTCCTCCGTCGTGTCCACGGCCGGAAAACAATAATGGAAACTAAAGGGAAGGAGGACAAAATTCGATGCTTCATGTAATGACATATAAAGACATAAACGAAAAATTATTCGCATACATAATATGCCCAACTTTGGCTTCATCTCCCAACTTACATGATTGTGATTCAAATTATTGTATGTTATTAATCCAAACTATTTTTCCTAATGAAGAAATAAAGTATACATTTCTCTTGTCAACTTCAACAATTTTTAATTTCTTTATTTTGTTATATATATATATGTTATATGTTATATATTGTAATACATATACAGGGTGTCCCAAAAGTCCCGGACCGGTCGAATATTTCATAAACTATGAAACTTTAGAAAGAAATGTTTCAGACAAAAGTTGTGGCTTGAAGGGGGCCATATCAGATAGTGGCAATGATTTAACATGGGAGAGTCATTTGAAAATCACGTGAAGATCACCGTCAATTTCTTAAATGAAACCTCCTATTTTTTATTACATATTCGTGTAGCTTATCTCGAGAGCTCCAAAACACTATAATAAAGTATTTCTTCATTGAGTACTTTTCGAGTTATGAGGCTTGAAATCATTTCTTAATTTTGCATAAACCATAAAATATCTAGTAAAATATTCATTTTTCGGTTATTTTATCTTAATAATTTTATGTACAAAATAATGAGAGGAATCAATTGGTGTAAGGGTCAATCAATTGGTAGAATTTTATGTACAAAATAATGAGAGGAATCAATTGGTGTAAGGGTCAATCAATTGGTGGAAAACACATAGTTGTTTTTAAAAAAATATGTAATTAAATTGCAAATTACATATTTTTTTCTTAAAAACAACTATGTTTTTTCTTTGCACCAATTGATTCCTCTCATTATTTTGTACATAAAATTATTAAGGTAAGATAATCGAAAAATAAATATTTTACTAGATATTTTATGGTTTATGCAAAATTAAGAAATGATTTCAAGCCTCATAACTCGAAAAATACTCAATGAAGAAATACTTTATTATAGTGTTTTGGAAAGCTCTCGAGATAAGTTACACGAATATGTAACAAAAAGTAGGGGATTCCATTTAAAAAATTGACGGTGACCTTTACGTCACCTTCAAATGACTCTCCGAGATCAAATCATTGCCACTATCTGATGGCCCCCTTCAAACCATACAACTTTTGTCTGAAACATTTCTTTCTAAAGTGCATAGTTTATGAAATATTCGACCGGTTCGGGACTTTTGAGACACCCTCTATATATATATATATATATATATATATATATATATATATATAATTATAAAAAAATTTTATAAAATAATTTATTATTTACCGGAATATCGTAGACTTGTGCTGTAAATTCCACCGATAATTGCAGAATCGATCGATTTCTTTATGCCGTGGAATGCAATCACTGAATCTCCTGAAAAAAAACGAACAAAATTCCAGAAATTAAAAATTAATATAACAAAGCTAACGAAGCCAATGAAGTTAAATATAATCTAATTTTAAAACTAATAAAGTAAAAGCTTTTCTTTTGTTTAATGTTACACCTACGCTATAATTTAATTAGTATAATTAACTATTTGATGATTAAAAGCAATTTTCAATCTAGAATATTTTATATAAAAAGAAGTGTATATACAAAACTGATTTCGAATAAATGAATATATCCAAATTGGTAATCAATAATAAAAAGCAAAGTCTATGTAAAGAAATTTTTATTTCGCGCCTCATAATTTCGCAATCAGGCGAAAATTCCGATAAAATAAACAAAAACAAAATGAAACCGAATTCATATACGAATTTTTATTTCACGGCTTTAATATAAAATTCAAGTGTATATTGTGCGCGATCACTACTGTTTCCGTATCATTAGATACCTTGTGCATTATTCCCGCAACAAAACTGCTACATTAATTGCCGTAGCGACATTAATCCGGTTTGTTGTTCATGGAAACCATTCGGTTGTTATTTCGCGGCTATGCGCGAATATTGGCCCGCGCGTGCAGAATATCAAATTACGAGTGCGAATAATTAATCGAGCGGCAAAGTCCCGCATCGTTCACAACCGCGGAGACCGGCTTTTCGCGATTCCCGAGCAAATTTAGGAACTAAAGGCCAGATAATCGAGAGATAAGCTCAAAAAAATTAACATTTTGAGCAAAGCACCGGTGAATTTTGATCATATATTTTTATTATTTTCGATATATTTTATGTCGCGTCTGCAATATTGTTAAAAATGGCATTCGTAAATCCCCCAAAACGATATTCTCCCTTCGAAATGGCCAGTTTCGCGTGATAAACGATATCGTTCGCGACTCTATTATTCGCAAAACCAAAACGAAACTGACCACTACTGCCTTCAATCAATCGTCCCCTCGGCGTTATCTAGATTACAGCCAAGTTTTCGTCTCGTCAATATCGCGAAAGACCGCGCAAACGAATTTGCAGGAGCAAAAAGCGAATCTGAGAAAATATATCTTTCTATATAAATTTTTATTCCCAATAGGAGACAATAAGAAAATATACACTGAGAAAAAAATTTGGTTGCATTAATTAGAATTCTGGTAGATTCAACCAGATATGTCTGTTGGAAAGTGGACGAACCAGAATTCTTGTAGGAATTACTAGATGAATCTGATTAATTTCTTCCTGTTAAATTTACCAAATTTTCTGGTTAATAATACTAAATTCACCAGCACCAAGTCGTCTAAAATTTTTTCCATCTAATCTTAAAAGTCTGTTTAATATTCTAAATTCCAACATGATTATTGCATAAATTCAATCCAGATTATTGAATAAATTATTTTAAGTTCAGTTTGTTAGAAATTAAACTGATAAACAGTGATGCAAGAAGAGGATGCAGTTCAAACACACACAATCAGAGAGCTAGCGTCCTCTTTCTGACCCTACTGCTCGTAAGAGAAAAAAAATACACTTTGAATTTAATGTTAATACTAGTTCTTTATATACATTTCATGGCAAAAATATTTAATACGAGTAAAGTTCAGAGTGGCTCGCCGCCTAGCGGCAAGCAAAGAAGTTAATGCAACAAGAAATTTTATAGATTCAACCAGAAAATACTAACCAAATCCTTATAGTAAAATTTATTAAACATTCTAGTTATAAAAAATCGAATCTTATCATGATAACTAGAAATTCTTGTTTGATTTAATCAAAATGTCTTCAATCATACACAGAAAAAAAGGACATTCTTATTTTGAAAATATATTTAGTTTTAACATGGAAATGTTGAAATGAGATTATATCGCGTTAATTTAAGAAAAATATAATTGCTTGAATAATTGCTGACTTGAATGAAGCCATTTTATATAGTTCAATCGAGAAAAATATACTCTCATGATTTAAGATTTAATTTTCTTGAATGGAAAAGAAATAATGTTGGATAGAAAATAACATTTTTAAATCAAAGATTATAATTTTCTTAAAGTAGAATTAAATAATTATATATTCTTAAGGTGACAATTACAATATTAAAATAAAACGATAATATTGTTGAAATTTAAAATTATTAAATTCTTCTAAGAAGACTATAAATTGTTGCGTATATATAAAGCAATGAACGCGTTAATTTAAGTATATAAGTTTTGATTTGACACTTCTTTTTTTTCTTGTGTATACGTTTTGTTGGTACAATCGAACGATTTTTCTCAGTGTAGATACACGTTTTAAATTAATAACACAGGCCTGCGAGGTTTTTCTTTTTAAGATCCAATAGTGATTTCCGACGTAATTTTGTGAGCTGAATTCGAATCTGGCTGCCGAATTTGCGTAGCACGTCATATTTTTGAGTAATTTGTAATTGAATGGCTCAAAAATCGCTATTTTCATGAATGACCAATTTCATGAATTTATTGCGAGGAAACCAAATTTTTTGAAATATTTCTGCCAATGGCATCGTATAATACTCTCTTTCGCCTTTCAAATCCACTTTCGATTACCGCTGCACGATTTTTTTTCGCTGAGATATATAAATATGACGTTGTAAGAAAATTTACGTTAAAGAAAATTTATATAGACATCAATATGGTAGATCCATGATCTTGAAATTTGAAAAGACTGACATATGTCAAGTTCGGTTGGCCAAAAAATATTGTAAAGATATTGTAAAAATATTGTAAAGAAATGTCTAATACAGTTGTTACACATTTTGATAAATTTTTCTAAATTTTATGCCTTTTTATTGTGATTCTATTCGCCATATTGGATGCGCCATTTTTAATTTCAAAAGGTGACAGAATGTATTTAAATGTATATTTTTACCCTAATTTTGATTCGTAATAAGATAGAGAGGTTGCACGGTTAATTTAGAATGGCTTATTAAATCCCTATGCATGACCAGTCTTATAACTTGTATATCTGAGCGAAAAAAAATCGTGCGGCGGAGTAATCGAAAGTGGATTCGAAAGATGAAAGTGAGTACTATACGCGCGATGCCATTGACAGAAATATTTCAAAAAATTTGGTTTATTCACAATAAATTGATGAAATTAGCCAAAGTAGCAATTTTGGGGCTATTCAACTACAAATAACTCAAAAACCTGACGTGCTACGCAAATTCGGCGGCCAGATTCGGATTCAGCGCACAAAATTACGTCAAAAATCACTATTGCATCTTAAAAAGAAATTTTGACTCCCTTTTTTGCATGGCTGTGTAATTTTTATTTCTATAATTATCAAACTATGCATTAAGTCTTGATGCGGTAGTGATAGAACACCCTATATGCCTAACCTATATGCGTCATACTGGCACCATCCAAAACGCGATCATCGTCACGGAACACAAAAGTCACCCTCATCACAGTCGTAACAGCTTTTACGATGCTCGGGAAAAGGAGAGAAAGAAATGATGTGACGTCATGGCGGAAATAGAAATTAGGGAGCTCACGAAGCGAATCGCCCCAGAACTTGTCTCCTAAACTATTGCCGTTCTTAAATCTTTGTAGGGACGATATCGCGGTTCGTAAACGTTAATGCAGTTAAAGCATTTTCGTTGAGAGAGTGGACGAAAGTGGAGCATTCATCTGTGTGCGTATACACATATCACACGAACACACTCGTTTCAAAAGTGAGTTTCTGATTTATTATATCGCCCGATCACTCTAGAACGAGTTTTTTCCGGACATTAATATCGATTGATGATAGAGGACCATCGCGCGTTTCATCGCCGATGTCTCTTAAATCGATTTAAGTACATTGAGGCAACACGTAAAATGTTCAATCACTAAAGACTCATGCTAAAAAACGCTGACACATGTTATAATACACCACCTTTCACGTATTACTAAATGCGTCGTTTTAGATAAATTTATTTTATAAATAATTTATAATAATAATTTATTAAATAAATATCGTTTTACATTAATTTATTTTGTAGAATACAATATGTTGCAAAATTATTGTATATATTACGTTTTAAAATAGATATCCTAAAATTATATTTTGATATTTTTTAAATAAATAATTTTCTTACATATTAAATATGTTATAAATATAGGGTTATATAGGGTTATATTAAATATAGGGTTATATTGTATTCTAATATAAAATATAGCATTTGATATATTTTATATTACGTATATTTTATATTTGCTATGTATATTTTATATTTAATTCTCAAACATTTTCTTGAAAGAATTTTAATAAATTTTTACAACCTAAATATAATATAAAACTTTTTTTCTTTCAATTATTTCTTTTTCCTTTTTAAGTCTCAGTTATAATATTCGATAAATAAATTCTGGAAATGTAAATTATTATATTCCGTATATCGCATACATTATTAATTTACTTACGCAACGCTTGTTTAATCAAGTTGCATGTAAATATGCTCAAATACATTAAATTGCATTAACCAAGCCATCAAGCAAGCTTTCAAATTTGATATCTTAAAACACAATAATGCATCACGAATAGCTTTTCCATTCGATTACCTTTTAGATTGTTATTGTCAGAATTAATTCAAATAAATTGCATAGGTGTAATGTGTGATATTTAGATAAATAAATATTTTATTGACATATTGTTAATTAAAATTGACGAAAAAATTGATTTCTCAGAGCATAAAGCGCTTTTTCAAAAATTCAAATTAAAAAGTTCTATTTTTAGCAACCAAGAGATGGTTTGAAAATGAAGTTTTATCAAAGCACAAAATACTTAAAATTCACAAAAAATAATTTTATTACCAAATTTTTTCCAAAAATTTGATACGTAAAAATGCTTTAATTTTTTATTATTAATTATTGCAAATTTCCAATTTATTGTTAATGAAAAATATAGATCGATCAGAAATTTTATAATAAAATAGATATCCTATATAATTGTTGTAAGGCAGGATTGGATTAAGCCATGTCGATTGATAAATCCTCGATGATGACTTATAGCACTGCCATCGTGGCG